AAAATATATAATTTATTGGAACTGAAGTGGAAAAATAAATATGAAGGTCAATTTAATTATAAAACAGGAGGTAAAGTTCTCCTTTTTTAATTCAAATGGTGCATTTTAAGTGTATTTATTGGTCCATTTATATATTTTTGCGTTTATTTCTAATTATGTCAGTTTCGGTCCTCCATAGCTACACTCAATTAAACAAGCAAATTCTAACATGTAAAAAAAGGGGGTAAGGCACCATGTAAATGATGTCTAATCGTGTTCTAATTTGATTTTCACTCAGCTCCATCATTGGAACCAGTGTTGCTTCTTTGCTCATCACTATTGAGGAAATGCACCTCCTCAGTAAAAAGATGTTCTTCAACAGCCTGAGTCTCCACGCAAGCAGACTCATGGACAAGGTTTATATGATTTATGTTTACATTTAGAAAAACTAATTTAACCACAAAAACGAGATAAAAGAAGCATCGTTGTTTGTTCAAGAAGAGATAGTTTTTTTGTGTGTGTTTTTTTTATACAAAGAATAAATGGTTGTGCGGTGAAGTTTAGTGTTGCTCCCTGTGGCTCTTTGTCTAAAACCTTCAAAGTCAACAAGGCTATTTCTGAAACACTTGTGCTTGTAAACAGTTTCAGCCTCCTGGCCACAGCAGCTAAATGGTGCTAGCTGCCAAGAAAACTCTTTACTTTTGTGTTTTTTTTTTCTGCTGTTTAGTTAAATTGGCATCCAAATATACCTTAGCACGGGCACGAGCTCTTCCACATTACGTGGCGCTTGTGTGCTGATCGATAGCAGTTACAAGAATTATCTCTGCAGCTTGGAGTTAATCAAATTGGATGCCCTCAGGGTTTTGGTGTCAATTCCAGCTAATGCCAGGAACACAGCCTTTTCATAATTTGCTCTATTAGGTGCACAAAGGTGGCCTTGCTCAGTTCTGCATTGTGTGCAGAGTTCAAAGAAATTGAAGCCCTCTTCATTACAAAAGCTTTACAAATTGATGCTCAGATGTATACTTGTTTAAAGTGCCCCTCATTTGGCTTGTTTTGTGCTTTAATTCTGTTATAAGAGGTTAGTTTATTTGTGAAACTGGAGCCTACAGAGTTTTTTTTTTTTTCTTGTTCGTATCCTATCCTATACGTCAACTCCTGGTTCTCTATCTGAGCAGGTGGAGCTGCCGCCCCCGGACCTTGGACCTACAGCCTCCCTCAATCAGACCCTGGCCCTCCTCAGGGAGGTGCTGGCTTCCCATGACTCCTCTGTGATTCCGCTCGACGCTCGCCAGGCTGACTTTGCTCAGGTAAAAATAGGACTCTGGACATGGTTTGGGTTGGAAAACTGATCTGACCCTGTTAAAATGTCACAGTGTAGCATTTTAAGTGACCTATGCAGCGTTTTTTTCATATTGAAACTCTTGTTTTCAGTTATATAGAGTCATACAAGAAACTGACCTAAGACTGAGGATTTCAAATTCAAACAAAGAATAAAAATTAAACCATGAACCATGCTTTTGCTGTATTGTGAAAGTTTTCATTTTTCATGCTTTTGGGGGGTATGTACACTCACCGGCCACTTTATTAGGTACACCTGTCCAAC